TTTTGTATGTGGACTCAATTTATTTCATTATTCTCTTTATGTATGGTTAGGATGTTTTCAATCTTCTGATATTAAAATTTTTCAGTGAATAATCTTATGCACACCCCATTCATTTTTTACATTTTTACTATATATATAAAATCTTAGAACTGGAGATGCAAGATCAGGGGCATTTGTAATTTCCGTTTTAGAGAATGTATTTTAATTTTTTCAGTTATTGAGTAGATAATGCACCACATATTATAAAATCAAAGAAGACAATAGAGTAGGGGCAGACTAATGCCCCTTTCCCCCATCTCAGCCAAAGCTGTCAATACTCTAATTCCTAGAACTTGAGAGTATGTCACATTACATGGAAAAAGGACCTTGCACATACTTGGCAGATGCTATTAAGGTTAAGGTCCTGGAATGGAGAGATTATCCCGGATTATTTGGTGGACTGATCTAATCACATAAATCCTGAAATTGGAGAACACTTCCTGGCTGCAGTTACAGAGAGATGTGAGAATAGATGCAAAGTCAGAGAATCATGATCTTCTTGTTTTAAAGATGAAGGAAAGGGGCCACAAGTCAAGGTATATGAGTGGTCTTTACAAGCTGAAAAAGGCAAGGAGACGGATTTTCCCTTAAAGCCGTCAGGAAGATACGCAGCTCTCCTGACACCTTGATCTTAGCTCAAGGAGACACTTGTCAGACTTCTGACCTCCAGAAATTTAAGGTAATAAGCCTGTGTTGCTTTGAACCCCAAAGTATGTGGTAATTTGTTACAGGAGCATACACAATGAATAAAGGGGGAAATAGGGAAGAGTAAATCTCCATATACCCCTTCCCAAAGTAAACTGATGTCTCTCAGCAGATGTAGCCTTTCCCCACTTTTTTATGCCTGCTTTCAGATATATTCCATGCCTTTACAAGCACTTACATATCATATGTCAGGGATTCTAGGGAGCTTATTTTTTCCTTTTTTCACAACTGTGAAATTTGGATGCACCTTACAATCACGAGTTCTTAGACTTGAGTTCTCCTTAAGAAGATTTGCATTTGCTTTTGTCAGTCACTAGAAATGCTACCAACCTGAGATTATTCTTAAATTATCTGCTTGAGCACTCTCTAAGTTAAATCAGAGAGGTTAAAAATCTGTTGTTTTTTGAGCCTCATTGATAAGGTGAATTCGCTCCACAAACCCATGTGAGTAATGGTTTGTGCTTCAAATTCTTGGGGGAGATTCTTTTTCTCTCCAAGTAGTGTCAATGTCAAGTTTGAGACCAGCCAGTTTTCCTGCTATCTCTCTGCATGATAGGTTTGGTTTCCATTTGCCCTTTTTTTGAGAATGTAGCCATTTGGTGACTCAGCTGTATGTATGGATACTTAATTAGATTCTCAAGTTTATCCTTGGGATAAACTGCAAATAAAAATTGCGAATTAAAATGAAAAGCTCTTACCTTTGATGACATACGCTATATAAGGGAATTTCCTTCTATGGAAAGATTTGTGTATTCTCTGTTGTAGTCTATGGAGATCAAAAGGTTTTGTCAAGTTGTCAGAAAGATATCAAACATCGCTGCAATCATTCATGTTAGGAACATTCTTTTTTATTCTTCTACTTTGTAGTCTCAGTCATAAGACATCACCAATATTAATTGCATCAATAACAATGATGTCTCCATCTCCTCTCACTGTTCCTGAATGTTGGCACATATGAAAAGGAAAGAGGCCTTGCCATGCAATCTGGACTTGTCGCTCCCTTTACAGTCAAGGAAATTCCCTTCCTTTCTCTCTCTTCTTGTGTATTCTGCTTAGTGGCCAAGCTCCTCTTTTTGTTAGAGCAGCTCACAGCTACTTCTCGAGAGAGAAAGAAAGGTGAGAGATAACTTTTCAAAGATAATTTATATGTAAAATGTGTTTATTCTAATCTTCTATTTGACTGTCATTTTTGTGTCAGGAATCTAGGTTGGAAATAAGTTTCCTTCTGTGTTTTGAAGGCATTTTCAAATCATTTTGTTAATTTCTTGTGGTGATGTTAGTGAATGAAAGCAATTCTGATTCCCAGCAATTTGCATGTAACCAGCTTTTCCCTTTGTTGGTTAGTTTGTTTTTTCCATTTTTATCTGGAATCTATTAAAATCTCCTCTTTGCATGTTTTTGAAATTTTACATGAATGTACTTTGCTGTAGATCTACTTTTGACATTGTGTTGGGAGCTAAGTATACCCTTCCATTATAGAAAATCATGTCCTTCAATTTTGTGATACTCTCTTGAATTATTTTATTAATAATTTTCTCCCTCTGATCACCTCATTTTCTGTATTTCTTTTTCCTCTTTGAAGTTCCTATTATTCTGATGGTGAACCTCCTAGAATGTACTTCCAAGTTTCTTACCTTTCTGTCTTAATCTCTGTGTTCTTTTGTTCTATATTCTAGGATAATTTCCATAACGTTATGTTTTATATGCTTTTAAATTTACTTTAACATTTTAAAACATGTTTTATTTTATTGTACTTATTTTGTTTCCTTTAAATATCTTATTTTTAAATATTTAAATTGTTTTCCTTTTTCTTTTACATTTTAAGAGCTACTTTTTGTTCTCGACATATTTCTTTCCTTGGAGGATGCCCATCTGGCTTCAGGGCTGCAATTTATTTTCTTATCTTCTGTTGATATCTTTTTTTTTTTTTAGTAACTACCTTTAAAAAATGTCTCTGCGTAGTTTCTATTTCTTCCAAATTTCTTTTATTCTTTTTGGTTTGTTTAGTCTCTATCTTATATGGAAGAAGCTTTTCTCAGATGACAATACTGGGATCTCTGCTAATGACTAAGGCTGGGGGAGTAAAAATTGATTGGAAGCATTGACAGGTGGTTGAGATTGAGGACTTCGACTTCATTTCAGGGTGATCAGGAAGGGCTAATGACGGCATACATGTCATGTAATTCCCTATTTTCATTAGGTACTCAGTTGTTTAACTATGCCTGGAATCCTTTTGTCCAGACAATATCCCTTTTACCTTCTCCAGACATTAAACCTTAGTATTTCTTCAAGGATGCAGAAAAAAGTAGCTACCTAAAGTCATAAAGCAGGAGAAGGCATCTAGGGCCTTAAGGATCTAATGACTCCTTAAACATCTTCTCTTCATCTTTCACTTTATTGTAGCACAACATCCTTCACTCCAATTCCAAATTTCCCAATGCAACTGCATCCTGAGCATTTTAAAGATTGTCCTGTTTAAACTGGATTGCCTCCCCACTGTGCTCACTACAGTCTTAGATCCCTTTACTAAAGAGCTGAAGCTTAAGGGTTTTAAACAATTTTCCAGTGGATACCGCCCCAAGACAATTCAGGGAATGTCTCATATAGTTCTAAGGGGAAAGTCATGGGGCTTGGTTTGTGGGCCATGTAGAGAGAAATTTTGAAAAATTATCATTTATCTTTCTCCTTTTCACTTTTAGTCTGCTGTTCAACCTGTATAGTGAGATCACTTTAAGTAAAATCCTGTTTTACTCAAAACACTATGAATTTCTTCCAGTGTAACTCCAGTTCCCAAATTCTTACTTGAACTTTAATATATCATTTGTGGAAGAAAGACCACACTAATTTATCCAAATTTCCCTTTGAATAAACTTTAAAGTAGCCAGAGCAAACGTAATTATACTTTTACCGTTAATCAATAATAGAGATTTGCTAAAAGGAATACCTGAAAATCAATACACCCAGCTTGTTTGTGTGTTGGTTGGTTTTGGTCATCATGACCATATGTCCACCACTTTCAAGTTTTAGAATTGATAATTGACTTCTCTTATGGGAGAGAGAAGAAAAAAGAAGAGGAAGAGCAATTAGATTACATGATTTAGGAAGAGAGGGTAGAATAAAAAAATGCCAGAGAACAGAATTGAAAAGTAGGAGTTTTTGGATTTTTGTTGATACTGTTTGTTTATTTTAACCTTAAGGCCATTCGATTTGGGTGAGGAAGTTTACAGCTTTGAATGACCAAATAATAAATTCAGTAATATAATTTTTAAGTGAAGTCATGTAGCTCTTTATCTTTTCCTCTTATAGGCTATATTCTAAGGCATCCAAATACTTAAGGTCTTGTTTATAAAGTTGCTCAGAAATCTATGGGATAAACAGACCAAAATTTGATTCCATTACATTCATAGTTCTTAATTAAAATACACATACATAAATTCAGTTTCACAATCGTATATCTTGATGGAGTACCACTTCGTTATATGGCCTATGTACTTTGCTGGGCATATAAATTTGGCTAATTACGTAGCTCCTATCCTTAGCAAATTTATAGTGCAGATGGGGAGAAAACAGCTGAACAGATATTTCAGAATAATGTGATCCATGTAGACATTTATCAGTTACAACTACAATTGTGTATCACAGAAAGTGGCTTAAGTACAAAATGGCATTTATTGGCTCATATAAATGAAACATTCAGGGGTATGCTTCCTTTTCTCTGAGGCACTAATGCATTCACATAAAGTCACTATCTTTAGGCCCCACAGAGGAGCCCTGGCTTTGCCAGGCTCATATTGTTAGCCCACCAAATGTTTAGGAAAATAGATTCTAGCTTTCTCTCTAATTCAAACTGGAATCGAATCTCATCATCTTGAATCGGTCTTATTTGTCTTGTTAACATCTGCCTTAACCTACTACTTTTATTACTGTGACCAAGCACACTGGAGTATTGCAGTAATACTGAAATGCCTTGAATGAGTCGTGTATGTGCTGAGTATAGAGTGTCTTCAGCCTTCGGGCCCGGCGCCGGTGGCTCATGCCTGTAATCCCAGCACTTTGGGTGGCCAAGGCGGGCAGATCACGAGGTCAGGAGATCGAAACTGTCCTGGCTAACACGGTGAAACCCCGTCTCTACTAAAAATACAAAAAATTAGCCGAGCATGGTGGCAGGCGCCTGTAGTCCCCACTACTCCAGAGGCTGAGGCAGGAGACTGGTGTGAACCTGGGAGGTGGAGCATGGAGTGAGCGGAGATCACACCACTGCACTCCAGCATGGGTGACAGAGCAAGATTCCATCTTAAAAAAAAAAAAAAGAATATCTTCAGCCTTCAGAGCAGGCAAGCAGAATCTGAGGTAGCCAGAGTCCCCTGACTAGCCACCTGTGTCCATCAGCAGCTTCATGTGACATTCTAATTAATATCAATTTTATGTGGACCATGCTAAGGATAAGATTGGGAAGTGCTGTCTTAACCAATTTTTATTACTAGAGAGATACAGTACTTTGATTGGCCTTCCTTGAAGTTGGCTGATGTCAATTATATGTGAATTCTATGAATGGACAGTCAGCGAAAGAGTGTAATTCCTCTAAAATGCCTTGGGTAGGTTGTTAGCAGAATGAAGGAGTTTAAAACAAATGGTCACTCAATGCAGTGGTGAAGGTCTGATTCTGTATTTTATTGTCAGAAAATTGGAGCTCTTCTCGTGCTCTGGAAATAAAATATCACAGAGCTTTATGTTTGAAATGTTTCTCAATGGATACATTGACAAAATATTTGTAAGAATGCTACCTTTTTTCTAACTTTACATTAAAATTAAATGTTTGAGTATTTACACCAAGCAATTTGTATTAGTTAAAAATAACCAGGAAAAGAAAAGAAGAGGAAGAACTTGAAGTGAACATTTTCAAGGAAAGTGTATCCCTGTGTGAAAGCCTCCACTTCATGGGCATGACAAATACCCCGTGATGTAGGCCTCCGTTATTTATAGGCCTGGAGCATGCTTTTAACAGTCTGGGGAACCCCCAGGGAAATTGGTTTCTTAGGATTATTGCAAATAAGATCTGATTAGTTAATTATTCCTTTGTCTGAAAGAGCCCATTAAATTTGATGAAGGAATCTGTCAATACATTAAAAGGTACAGCTGAGCGAAAGGTGAGAACAAATGCTGACAAGTATGGTAAACATAAGACACACCTGACAAGACACAGGACAAGTTAAGCAAATGGCTCATAAAGCTGATTTAGCAGGAGGACAGTAAAATCCTTCCTTTCAAGGGATTTGCCTTTTTACTAAGCATTTATTTGGAGACAGGGTCTACTAAGGAAGGTGGACTGCATGGTTTTTACTGGAATTTACCGACATCAATCTCGTATAATAATTCTTTATAATGGCACTAAATCTATTAAGTTCTTACAGACATTTTCCCTTTACATAAACATTTTCTTTGACTAAAGTCAGACATTCACTCTTTCTCGGCCATAATAATTATTTTTGACAGATACTCTTCTGTATCTCTTTTAAACATCATACAGAATTGGGTTTCTGTTGTGGTGAAAGTCACCATAAGGTAATGATTTAGAAATAATTACGATGAGAAATTGGCCTGGGGAAGACCCAAAAAACTTCACCCTCTGCTAAGAAATTGTATAGCTACTGTTTCATATTCCTCTAGTTATAGATGATTTCATCCAATAACTACTATGATAATAGTTATTATTCATATAAAGGCCTTTAAAAGGATGGAGATTTATTTTGTTTTTTAAATAAGCACCCAGGCAATTAGATGTTTATTCAAAACATATCTGAACCTCATTGGTCTGGAAAATGCTTAAATTCATGAACGGTTGCACAATTTGTAGCTCTGGATCCCTTTGGAAGACAATGAAACCAGACTTCTTGGTAACATTTTATAGTAGTCTGAGATTTTCTCATTGTACTGTCTAATGAGATATCTACATGTATTTTGTTTTTTAAGGCTGTGGTGAATGTCAAGTTATGCCTGTGCTTTGGCCGTCATTGCTACTGGGCAAAGTCTGTTCTCTAAGTTATACCCCTTTATTAACAACAATGTAATGCTAGATGCTGAAACAAATAAACCCCAAATTCCTTGTGGCTTAACATAATATAAATTTATTTCTCACTCATATCAAACTGAAGTGGCAGCTGGGGCTCTACTCTCTGCAGCTCATAGGGACCCAGTTTTATGAAACACTCAGCGTCCAAGATCACTCAGCCTCGAAATCCAGCCTGCCGATGGGAATAGAGAGAGTGGAAATCTCATGGGAAAATATTGTTAAAATATCACTTCTGCCAACTTTCCATTCTCCAGGATTTAGTCTCATGTCTCGACCCAGATGTAAATGGTCTTGGAAAATGTTCCTTCCTGGGGGAGGGGAAGAGGCTCCTTCTCAGCAACTAATGCATACTGGGAAAGAAAAGCAGAGATATTTGGTGGCCAGCTAGCAGTCTCTGTCACAGCCTCTGCATAACACTTTGCTGGAGCTACAGTTGCTTATGACATGTGTGTCTGAATGAAAAACTGCCATGGAAATAAGTCTCCAATCTTCAGTGGGCTTTCCATTTTAGGCAGCGAGGAGAGCTCCAAAAACATTTTGTTAACTCCCAGTGTTTTAGGGACAGTGAAAAGAAAAATCTTCAAATTCCCACTAGTCTAATGGCTTTGGAGATCCCTATAACCTCTGAGCACATTCTGCCTTCAGCATTGGCCAGGCCTGGAGACAGCGACCAGAGTTCCAGCCTTCAAGTATGGCAGACCTATAGGTTGAGGGTGCTGTTTGGTTTTTCAGTGGCCTTAAGGTATCCCCGAATTCGCCATTGGTTGGTATGGGCTGAAGATTTATGTTAAAGTACTTAGTTTTGACAAATTAAACTGACATTATACATTTTAAAAACTGAAAATGTTTCTATGAAAGGAGGTTGATGTTTTAAGTAAGCCAGATGACTCTTTTCTCAGTTCACTCAGTAATAAAATTATTAATAGAAATAGTAAAACTGCTTAGATAGGGCCCTGCTCAAAGCATTTTAGAGGTGTTAACCAATTAAATCTTCAAAATTACCTTGTGAGGTACCATTATTACCTCCGCTATATAAATCAGCACATTGAGGTTTGGAAATTTGCTGTGTCAGAGCTCCAGGAAATGGTATACCCAGCATACTAACCCAGGGAGTATGACTTGCTGGCTTAAGCAACCAGGCAGTTAACCACTACACTGGCTGTCTCTTCCTTGGCTCCTTGATAAGCTGGTAAGATGAAACCCATTGTTATAGTGACCCTATGTTTTCTATTTTATGAGAAAAACCAGTGTGCTAAACTGGTTCTCATGAGTAGTACAGCGCACTAATATTTCTAATTGTGGGGCCTAGATATGGCTTAAAAGGTGCAGTGAGGATGTGGGACTGGGAGGTGCTAATCATGAGATAGATAGCAGGTATTAAAGACATTTGTTGAGAGATAGGCAAGATGAGGTCAGTTTACTATGGAGAAGAGCCAGCTGAAATTTGCATGTATGTGCATATACAATACAAACCAAAGAACTGCTGGCAGGATGCTACATTCCTTTATGGTGAGGTAAGGCTAAAAATGTATGCTTGTCTTCCCTCCAACACCGGCAGTGAAATAGCTTGTTTTCTGCTACCTCCTTTCCAATCTAGCTCCTTCACAAAGCATGCTACTCCATTTTGGTGTATCTTTCTGTTGACTACCTCTGTGATTTATTTAGAAATTATTAATCAGATGCTGTCTTCTTAAAAATATAAGTGCTCATGTAATTTCTCTTAAACAAGATTGCAAATGCACTGAAGGTAGAAAGAAACATCTTTTACTTCCTTTTTCTCTATATATATCAGTTCGTGGGATACTTAATTTTCACTAAGTGTATTTACAGAGAACCATATGGAGTGGAAAATCATAGCCAAATTAGAGCCTTGTAGTCAGTCAATTCTTTCTAAAATGCCCACTGTGTTATAGTTTGCTTTGATTCCAAATTATCAGTGTCCTTCTCAGATGCCTGAATGTAGAAAACATATACCTCAGACAAAAAAGTTTTCTGGACAAACTGCAGCAAAGATGTATACTTTGTTGGCTGGAAAATCTTCTGATTCGACCATGAGGGCATCTCTAATTGTCACAGCTGGTAGAAGCAGAAAAAATGAATAAGATCAAGATGCTTGGACTTTTTGCTGGAACACAGAAAAAGCAGGACACAGTAGAGTGATGCCTGAATGACCACATGTGTGCTGGGGATGGCTTGGGACTCCCTGCCACACTGCAAGCGATGTGACCAAGTAATCATTTACAGCTTTGTCCTTACTTCAAGCTTGGCATGGGATTCAAACACTTGTTTAAAATTATAGTAGACTGTCCTATTTAAATTTATTTTTATACCGGCATTTTATAATGTAATTTGACATGCAAAGTAGTTATATATATTTTAAGTAAATTGAACAAACAGAAAAGGGTACAACACTTTGGCAAACAAATAAACATCTGTGAGCGCATTTTTCCCACTGGCTGGTTATAGAACACAATTCCAATTACTTGTTGCAGCAATTATCTAGAAAATCTTTTGGAAATGCAATTTTAAAATGTTACCAGAAAGGGGTCCCATTCCAGACCCCAAGAGAGGGTTCTTGAATCTCCTGCAAGAAAGAATCAAAGAGAGTCCATAGAGTAAAGTGAAAGCAAGTTTATTAAGAAAGTGAAGGAATGAAAGAATGGCTACTCCATAGGCAGAGCAGCAGCTTGGGCTCCTGGACTAAGGATACTTAACAGTTATTTCTTGATTATATGCTAAACAAAGGGTGGATTATTCATGGGTGTTCTGGGAAAGGGGTGGGCAGTTCCCAAAACTGAGGGTTTCTTCCCTTATTAGACCATACAGGGTAACTTCCTAACAATGCCATGGCATTTGTAAACTGTCATGGCATGGCTGGGAGTGTCTTGTAGCATACTAATGCATTATAATTGCGTATAATGAGCAGTGAGGACAACCAGAGGTCACTTTTGCCGCCATCTTGGTTTTGGTGGATTTTGGCCAGCTTCTTTACTGCAATCTATCTTATCAGCAAGGGTTTTGCAATCTGTATTTTGTGCTGACTTCCTATCTCATCCTGTGACTTAGAATGTCTAACCTCCCGGAAATGCAGTCCAGTAAGTCTCTGTCTTATTTTACTCAGCACCTGTTCAAGATGGAGTTGCTCTGGTTCAAACACTTCTGACAGATGCAGTCAAATGTAGGTAACAATTATTTTTGGAAACTTGGGACAGTATTTTGAGGATTTGTCACTTGACATGTTATTTACATCTTTTCCTATACACACCCAAACCACCTTTCTCTGTTCTTGATAGCATAGGATTCTGACAGGACTACTTACTGGCACATATCACAGTTCCTTAAGAATACTTCATCTTCTTCCACAAGTGTTATTTCTGTAGTTAGAGTCAAATTAAAGAATTATATACGTTGATGGTGTGTATTTGTAGGAACTTTCTGTGAATATTTTTTGTATTTCTATTTACAAAATTATCTGCAATTCCATAAATCATAAAGACAGACAAGAGATATTTATTCGTCCAATAAAAGTTCAAATTGCTTAAAGCTCCAAGGTCATGTTTTTTTTCTCGCAAAGAATATGCTTTTCACATATGTTTACTCATTCAACAAATATTTATCAAATATTTATCAAGTGCCTCTCATGTGTCGGGAAGTGTTCAGGTTACATGAAATACATTATTGGGAAAACAAAAGCCTCCGCTTTTATTGAGGTTATGTAGTAGCATGGAAAGGATGACTATAAACAATAAACATAATAAATAAGCAAGTCATACAGCCTGTTAGAGAGTGATAGGTGCTGTGGAAAAAACATCAAGCAGAGCATGTAAGTGGAATCAAAACAGTGAATAGCTGGTTGGGCAGTGTTGTAATTTGAATAGGCCGATTTGGATAAGTGTACTAGAAAAGTTGGCATTAGAGCAAAGACTTGAAAGAGGTGAGAGGGTTGGCCATGTGGACAGTTTGAGAAGTGTTGTAGGCAGAGATAACAGCAGTGAAATAGTTTTAAGTAACAACTTGCCTGAAATGTACAAAGGGCAGCAAGAAGGCCAGTGTGGCTGGGACCAAGTGCAGAGAGGAGGAGGAGAAGAGGTTGGCAGATTAACAGTGTGGAGGAGAGGGCAGCTCAGGGAGGGATTTGTCAGCCATTCTGAGGACCCACTTCTAATAGAGGCAGAAGGCAGAGAAATCCTAGGCAGACATGGGCAAGTCCCTGGTGAAACCCCACTTTAAAGCCCAAAACATGCTGAAACCTGCAGACCAGAGTAAGAACTTCTATTCCTGTTTACTCACTCTCTCGATTGGTTCTTTCTGAATAACGCCTTTTAACAAATTGAATGTTGCCTTTTCCAATACTACCTATGGCCCACCCTACTCCCACCCTGTGCCTGTAAAGACCCAGACTCAGTTGGTAGAGTGGAGATGGTCTGGTGGAAAGGAGATGGTCTGATTTCAGGGAAGAGACCTCCTGACTTCAGGGGAAGGTGACCTGCCTTTCCCATCCCCTCTCCCACTCCCCTCTCTGTGGAGAGCTGTTTTCATTACTCAACAAAATTATCTGCCCTCGCCATTCTTCAGTAATCAAGTGTGACCTCATTCTTCTTGGATGCTGGACAAGAGCTTGGGTCCCACCAAGTATGAGTACTCAGAAAGACTGTCACACTGGCCCTTTGCCTTTGCTGGTGGAGGGCAGCTACCTCATGCAACAGGGTCAGGGGCTGACTGAGCTGCTAACATACCGCTGTTCATTGGTCTGTGGACAGTGAAACTAAAAGAGCTAATCAGCAGACTAACACCCGCTCTGGGGCTTTGGGATCACAGGCACTCTTGCCTGAGTGCCACTGTGTTCCCCTCAAGATGACATGCCTGGTCTGGCTGCAGGCCCTGCTTGGAGTTTGCTCCTGTGTCAGCTGAGTGGCCGGCCGAATCCCGTACTCACTCACTCATGTGCCTCCTCTTGAAGAGGCTGAGTATGATGGGCCAAGTAGGCAGGGTACCCTTGCTGAGACTCCAGAAAAGGGACTGAGAAAAATCCTGCATCACTTCTACTCTGAATGAAATGAGCAGCCAAAGCCTGTTCTCATAGCAGGTTCACACAGCTACCTAGTGTAGGTGAATAAAATATTATCACTCCATTTTGTAGATCAAGAAATGAAGAGATGCTGAAAATTGAGGGGGCATGAAAAATAATCTGCTTTCAATAATTTCTTATGAAAAAGAAATGAAAATATTTGTAGAATGTCACTTTTTGACAGATATTCCTCTTGGGGCCTGTCACGGTTAGCATTTTAATTTCTTTTTAATGCTTACAAATAATCGTATAAGACAGCTGTGTATCCAATTCAATAAATGAGAAAATGAAGGTTTAGAGAAGGTATAAAATTTGTAAAAGTTTACACATATAGTGAATATAGAGTCACAATTAAGTCTCTCTCACCTCAAATAACAAAACATTTTGTAAGGTTATATTGAAATAGTTTTAAATTTTAGACTAGGAATCATTTCAAACCCAGGAAATAAGACAAAATATATAAGCATCCAACACATATACCTCAAAATACATAAGCATTCAATATAGACCTCCAAGATTTAAAAGCTATTAACTTTTTACCATGTTTGCTATAGGTCATTTTTTTTTTTTTTTTTTTTTGCCTTTAGAAAATAAGATATTTTTTCTCATTTGATGGAAATGGGAATACTATACTGTCATTATGTTAATTGGAATTTCTTTGATTATTGCTGAGGTTAAAAATCTTTACATGTTTTTAACCATTTAGTTTACCTATTTTGTGACTTGTCTGTTTATGTTCTCAGCCATTTTTCTGTTGATTGTCATGTACAAGAGCTCTCTATATTGTAGATAATATTCATTTGTTTGTTATAGTCGTTGCAAATACTTTCTTTCTTTCTTTTTTTTTTTTTGAGGCGGAGTCTCACTCTGTCACCCCTCTGGAGTGCAGGGGCACAATCTCAGCTCACTGCAACCTCCACCTCCCAGGTTCAAGCGATTCTCCTGCCTCAGCCTCCCGAGTAGCTGGGATTACAGGGGTGTGCCACCACGTTTGGCTAATTTTTTTTTTTTGTATTTTTAGTAGAGACGAGGTTTCACCATATTATCCAGGATGGTCTCGATCTCCTGACCTTGTGAGCCACCGCCTCCCAAAATGCTGGGATTACAGTCCTGAGTCACTGTGCCAGCCACAAATACTTTCATCTAGTCTATGACTGGTATATTTTTTCATCATTTATTATGTAATGCACATGTAAAATCTTGGATAAAACATATATTTTTTGTTTCAGTCATCTTTCTGATCACAAAAGCAACACTTCAATTTTTCCTCATTAAAGTAAATTATCTTTATGTTTCTCATAAATACTATGTATTATGTTAAGTTTATAAAAGTGGATGTTAAATATTGTCAAATATATTTTCTGCATTCATGAGATGATAATATATGTTATCTTAAATATATTAATATAGTGAATTTCACTAATTGAAATCAAGAAGTTCTTTGAAACCAGTGAGAACAAAGACACAAAGTACCAGAATCTCTGAGACTCAGCTAAAGCAGTGTTAAGAGGGAAATTAAGAGTACTAAATGCCTACATAGAAAAGCTAGAAATATCTCAAACCAACACCTTAACATCACAACTAAAAGAACTAGTGAACCCAAAGCAAGCAAACAATAAAGCTAGCAGAAGACAAGAAATAACCAAGATCAGAATGGAACTGAAGGAAATAGAGACACAAAAACCCCTTTCCAAAAAAATCAATGAATCAGGATTTTTTTTTGAAAAAATAAAATATAATAAAATAAAATACATAGACCATTAGCTAGATTAATAAAGAAGAAAAGAGAGAAGAATCAAATAGACACAATACAGTATATTAAAGGAAACATCACCATTGATGCCACAGAAATACAAATAACCATCAGAGAATACTACAAAAAACTCTATGCAAATGAACTAGAAAATCTGTAAGAAATGGATAACTTCCTGGACACATACACCCTCCCAAGACTGAAACAGAAAGAAGTTGAATCCCTGAATAGATCAATAACAAGTTCTGAAATTGAGGCAGTAATAAATAACCTACCAACCAAAAAAAGCCCAGGACCAGACAGATTTACAGCTGAATTCTATCAAAGGTACAAAGAGGAGTTGGTACCATTTCTTCTGAGACTATTCCAAACAATTGAAAAGAAGGAACTTCTCCCTAACTCATTTTATGAAGCTAGCATCATCTGATGCCAAAACCTGGCAGAGATATATCAAAAAAAAGAAAACTTCAGGCTAATATCCCTTATGAACATTGATGCAAAAATTCTCAATAAAAAACTGGGAAACCAAATCCAGCAGCACATCAAAAAGCTTATCCACCACGATCAAGTTGGCTTCAATCCTGGGATGCAAGGCTGGTTCAACATATGCAAATCAATGAAAATAATTCATTACATAAACAGAACTAAAGACAAAAACTATTATCTCAACAGGCGGAGAAAAGGCCTTCAATAAAATTCAACATCACTTCATGTTAAAAACTCCCAATAAACTCAGTACTGATGAAACATACCTCAAAAGAGTAAGAGCCATTTATGACAAACCTACAACCAGTATCATGCTAAATGGACAAAAGCTGGAAGCATTCTTCTTGAAATCTGGCACAAAGCAATTATACCCTCTCTCACCGCTCCTGTTCAACATAGTATTGGAAGTTCTGGCCAGGGCAATCAGTCAAGAGAAAGAAATAAATCGTATTCAAATAGGAAGAGAGAAAGTCAAACTGTTTCTGTTTGTAGGTGACATGACCCTATATCTAGAAAACCCAATTGTCTCAGCCGAAAAGTTTCTTAATCTAATAAGCAACTGCAGCAAAATCTCAGGATATAAAATAAGTGTGCAAAAGTCACAACCATTCATATACACCAAAAATAGAAAAGCAGAGAGCCAAATAATGAATGAACTTCTATTCACAATTGCTACAAAGAGAACAAAATACCTACAGCTAACAAAGGAAGTGAAGGACCTCTTTGAGGAGAACTACAAACCACTGCTGAAGGAAATCAGGGAGGACACAAACAAATGGAAACACATTCCATGACCATGGATAGGAAGAATCAATGTTGTGAAAATGGCCAGACTGCCCAAAGTACTTCATAGATTCAATGCTATTCCCATTAAACTACCATTGACATTCTTCAAAAATAAGAAAAAAATTACTTTAAAATTAATATGGGGCCAGGCATGGTGGCTCACACCTGTAATCCCAGCACTTTGGGAGGCCGATGCGGGGGGATCACCTGAGGTCAGGAGTTTGAGACCAGCTGGGCCAACATGGTGAAACCCTGTCTCTACTAAAAATACAAAAATTAGCTAGGTGTGGTGGTGGGTGCCTGTAATCCCAGCTACTTAGGGGGCTGAGGCAGGAGAATAGCTTGAACCTGGAAGGTGGAGGTTGCAGTGAGCCAAGATTGTGCCATTGCACTTCATTCTGGGTGGCAGAGCAAGACTTCGTCTCAAAAAAAAGAAAATTCATATGGAACCAAAATAGAGGCCACATAGCCAAGGCAATCCTAAACACAAAGAACAAAGCTGAAGGCATCATGCTACCTGACTTCAAACTATACTACAAGTTTTCAGTAACCAAAACACCATGGTATTGGTACAAAAACAGACACATGGGTCAAAGGAACAGAATAGAGATCTCAGAAATAAGGCTACACATCTACAACCATCTGATCTTCGACAAACCTGACAAAAACAAGCAATGGGGAAAGGATTCCCTATTTAATAAATGGTGCTGGGAAAACTGGCTAGCCATATGCAGAAAATTGAAACTGGGCCCCTCCCTTAAATCTTACATAAAAATTAACTCAAGATGGATTGAAAACTTAAATGTAAAACCCAAAACTATACAAATCCCAGAATAAAATCTAGGCAATACTGTTCAGGACATAGGCACGGGAATGGATTCATGACAAAAATTCAAAAGCAAGTGCAACAAAAGCAAAAATTGACAAATAGGATCTAATTAAACTGAAGAGCTTCTGCACAGCAGAAGAAACTATCATCAGAGTGAACAGACAAGCTTGTAAGCTATCCATCTGACAAAGATCTAATATCTGGAATCTGCAAGAAACTTAAACAAATTTTCAAGAAAAACCAAACAACCCCATTAAAAAGTAGGCAAAGGACATGAACAGACACTTCTTTAAAGAAGAAATTTATGTGGCCAACAAACATATAAAAAAATGCTTAACGTTACTGATAATTAGAAAAATTTCTTAATTTCCAAACTTACAGAAAATTTCCAGTTTCTTGAATTGATTTCTAATTTCTAGTCATAGAAAATGGTCTATGTGATTTAACTTATTTAAAAATTGTTAAATTTACTTTTTAGCCCAGGATGTAGTAAGTTTTTATAAATATGCACATTGTAAAAGAACATGAATTCTGTAGTTGTTGAATGGAGTAGTTTATAGAAGCCTACTAGGTCAATTTTTAAATTCTGCTATTCAAGTTTTTTACATCTTTATTGTTTTTTCCTTCTATTATATCCTTATAGAGAAAAATCTCTGACCCTGATGTTTTATGTATATTTGTATCCTTCTGGTTTTATCGATATTTGCTATTTTACTAAATATGCTAAAATTTTAAAAATAAAAGTAATTGGTGATCAGTTGTCTATTTCATCTTTTCTCATAAAATGACCCTGTTGAAATACAATAATACTTTTTGCTGTAACATCTCTCTCTCTTTGCTATTGCTATAACTAAAATTCTATTTTTAAGGACAAAGTGTTAATATTTATGAGGTAAATCTATTTCCAATTTTAAAATTTATAATCTCTGTATTCTTATTTTTATATGCATTATTAATAAAAAGTGTTTGTTGGGTGTCTGCATTTTCGTCTACCTCTGCCTTTTAATTATAACATATGGCCCATTCGTGTTTAATATAATTTTTGATACATCTTGGCTTAAATTCTACTAACATTTTTGCTATATTTGTATGACCTGTTCTATATTGCTTTTTTCTTATTTTTGTCTGCCCTTTTTTGTGTTTGTGTTAATTCTTGTCATTGCATATTCTTCTATCAGGTAGTTGAAATTCATAACTTCTTATTCTTTAGTAGGTATGCTACAAAATACATGACACTTAATTTATCAAACCCAAAGTAACTTAAGACATTTTTCTGAAGGGGATTTGGAATTAAAGCCTAGATGGTAAACCTCCAGAGTTTATTCTTTTAACACCTGTTTCCGTTTTCATTGCAGACTGAGAAATTAAGCTCACATCATATAACTGAAGTTGAACAATACTTTTCTATCACCCTGGGTCAGGTACATTCCTAAATAAACTGGAACTTACATCAGAAGCCTCGGAAAATTAGGAGAATAAAATCCATTACTTTGTGTATTAAGAAGCTCAAAATCCCATATTTGATTCACTATAGAATTACTTCAGAATCTCATATGTTGTTTTTGTTTAAGCGAAATCTGAAATATATTAGAAAATACCCACTGCTGTGTTGTCTATTTGCTTTTCTCTTTCTAAATGCCCTTTTGAGAAATGCTGCAAAAATTTTGTCCTGACATGTGGGGGCCCAACTATTTCCTGCTGTACTCAGCTTGGAGGACATAGCCTCTAGGTTATACTCTTTTGAAACTGTCCTGTTGAAATGCATGTTTTGATTTTGGGATTTTCCAGATGCTTCATAATTAGGTCCCATGTGTTAAAACTTGTGGAAATTCAGTATGTTTCTCAATGTGAGGCATCTAAGTAGTTCACAAATTTAAGGCAATTAGTCTATTAACTGGGATAAGTTGATTAATTCTATTAAATTCCATTGTTTACATATTACATGTTTAATCTATTCCCTATTCTATGCTTTATTTTTTTCATTTGTCTGAATTATTAAAAGTCACTACAGTTTAACATTTTGAACAATTTACTTTTTATATATAATTATATCCTTTGGCTATTTAAACTGAAGACACATTATATATGTAAATCAAATTAAGAAAAATAAATAGATAGTGTGTTCACTTACAACAGGAGGCTATCCCTGTGCTAAAACTTTCTGCTTCTTTTGAGTCTCAGAATTGTGGAATCACATAATATTTTAAAAAATCAGAAAGAACTTTAAATATCATGTTCACAGACTTTCTCACTTTCCAACAAGAAAACTGAGACCAAGAATGTTTACCAGACAGGTAATGCCTGAATTAGTCCTAGAATCCAGATTTCCTTATTATTTACATGAAGTCCAGAAACATACCATATGTATTAAACATAATGGTTTAAAACATTAATGAAGGTTGATTTTGAAATTGGGAGGGTTCATATAAGTCTAAAATTTTAGTCTTTGCTTAGGTATCCAAAACTTTATTGCTTTAAAGTTTCTTATTGGAGGAAGCCACTTTTCAGTCACTTTGATAGGCACAAAGGATTTTGCAGTGAGGAAAACTGATATAATCATAAAAATAATTATGAAATTACAAATGTTAATTTGTAAATACTCATTCCCTTTTTCAAACTAATTGCAGGTACCTCTTACAGATCTTTTAAACCTCAGCTCAAATCTCCTTTCTTAGAATACCTTCAGACTAGGTCAGGTCTCTGGCCATGCACCCTTGTGTTATTGAACATGTTCTCACTCATCATTATGGGATGCCACAAGCTATGTTTGAAGCATATACTCTAGATCATGGAGAGCCTTATAGGTCATAGTGAGGACTTGGGTTTTTCTCTTTAAATAACTGAAAGCCAATTGAAAGGTTTTAATACTATCTATGTTTTTAAAAGATTGCCCGGGTGCCTTCTTGTAAGGCAGTAAGCATGGTCGAGGGAAATCCTTTAGAAGACTGTTGCAGTAGCACATGGGAGACAATGAAAGCTTCTTCTACGAAGTCACCCTGGAGGGAGAAGTGGATGAATCTGATAGATATTTAGGCAGAAAATGGGAAGAACATAGATGGGAAAATATTGTGGATGTGGTGGATGGCAAAAAGGTGACAATATTTGCAGGTCAGTTAGAGGTGAAGCTTTTCATTGCCCTATTGATTGGGGACCGGCCTTGTGGCCAGCTTTGGTCAATGGGACAGCAGAAGATTGAGGTCTGAAAAGCATTTGCACATTGGGGATCTCTCTCACTGAGCATGAAACAGCACTCTGCGAACAACCAGGCTGGCCGGCTGGAGAATGAGAAACCACGTGAAGAAAAGCTTTCATTGGTACAGCTGCGCTAGCCAAGACCCCTGAAAGAGCTTTGCTGATAACAGCCATCACAGACCATATCAGAAGGCCTGCCAGGCTGAAAACAGCCCAAATTGCTGACCTCCTGCATTTTTAACTAAATAAATGGTTGTTGCCTAACTACATTATATTGTGGAGTGGTTTGTTACTCAGCAAATGCTAACTGATACCATGAGTAAAAGAGAGAGAAATCTATGAAATAAATACAATTGATACTTAAATGTGTACACACACACACATACACACACACACACGCTCACATTACATGAAGAGCCACAAAGTATAAGCTCTGTCTCCTCTCATCCCTGTTTAATTCACATTTAACTCTATCTAATTAACAGTCCATTTTATAAACATCAATTCCGTTAGCCTAAGAAGCTTCTCTTTCAAAGGTTTATTTTCAAATTCACCTTTTATTTGTTGCAATTTATTGTCCTAAATCTAGGGTTTTAAAATTATTCTTAGAGAGCATTAAATAAACTAGATGTAAATATTAGTGATTGGGAATTTGGAAAATACATTTGAAATGTGAACAATATATGTGTTTAAGTAGCTAGGGAAAGATTTCATTGTGGAAAAGATTTGATGTGAGGATCCTTGATGCATATGATCCACTGTTGTTATTAAAAACATTCACTTGTAAATGCGAACATTGTAATACAACTACTTCACATGATGGAAACTTCTGAAAATGTAAGGGATGCTTTATCTGAATTCAAGAAAAGGCTTTGTGTTTATATTAAGTTAATTTTAGATCACATAGAAATAAAAGAGAAAATTCGGTCTTCTGAAATCTCTTTCTGATAGATCTAGTATCATATCAGTCAGTTGCTGTGATTAGGATAAGTGAATAGCTTACTATCCAATAAAATTTAGACGAAGAAAATATTAGACACAGCTTTGGGTATTTATTTTAAAATATATATTATTACTTTTGTGGTAGGTAAAAACGTTTTCTTTATCACTCGTAGAAAGCCAACCTGGTTATTTTAAAACACTTCACAAAGTTATCAAACTGCTATTTCTTTTTGTGATGTGCAGATTTTTCAGCCTTTCACACAATACAAGCACTTCACATTTAGAAAGGGAACTGAGTATCAGATGCTCTGAAACTTCTTTGTGATTTTATAAGGTCACAGATATTGAACTCGTTGATAGATAGTTTCATACTATTAAAATCTTATTGACAAATCTATTAAAGGAAGTCATTTAAACAAAATATCAATAAGAATTACGGAGAACAGGCCGAGCGCTGTGGCTCATGCCTGTAGTCCCAGCACTTTGGGAGGCCGAGGCGGGTGGATCACGAGATCAGGAGATCGAGACCATCCTGGTTAACGCTGTGAAACCCTGTCTCCAGTAAGAATACAAAAAAATTGGCTGGGCATGGTGGCGGGCGCCTGTGGTCCTAGCTACTCGGGAGACTGAGGCAGGAGCATGGCTTGAACCCAGGAGGTGGAGCTTGCAGTGAGAAGAAATCGCACCACTGCACTCCAGCCTGGGCCACAGAGCAAGACCCTGTCTCAAAAAAAACCCCAAAAAGATAATAATAATAATTACGGAGAATAACATCCATAATCGCACAATTATGACTGCTGTAAATTGGTCAAAATGAAAAGAAAAGATATGTTTTAAACATTTCTTAGCTCTTAGTACTACTGAGAGAGGAAAGTTGTGTTATCAGGTTGAACTTGCCCAACTTCAAAGCACTGAGTTTTCCTTTTCAATGAAAAAGAGAGACGAGCTTTAAAATTTCTATTATCTGTGAGTTCTCTTTGTAAAATAGTTTTCTTTCTTTAGACTACTCTTTCAAAAACCTCAGAATATTTGATGACTTTTTTAGGGAAGATATTGTTGCAACGTGCTCCTTTTAAAAATATTTTATTAAATTTTCTTTTCAGAATGTTCCATTCACAAAAATGATTTGTTCTAACTAGAAGTTCTAACCTCTGGGAATGATGGCTCACTGATAATTTCTCCCATCCCTTTCCATTATTCACTTCTCTCTTTGTTTGCTTTTTGTGCATCACCTTTCACCAACACCTTTTCTCCAACCACCACCATTAAAATTAAGATGCCCATTTTGGGTAAAATTTATGCAGCAGGAAATTAGAAAACAGTAACCATTGTCCTCATCAGCCAGCTAACTTGGCAGAGAACACATAAATGCAGATCATAAAAATACATTGTGTAGTGAAATATATAATATTTTAAAAATACTGTATGCAAATATTAAAGTTTATTGTGCTGACATTTTCTTTTGGTTGTAAATGCAAATAAATACTGAGCATAATATGTATAAATAAGACAGAATCTGTATCTACATTGATACATAAAGGTTAAGTGTATAGAGATTTTCAGACTGGTTTATGGATATATTGTCAGAAGTCTGAAGACTTTCTCTAGGAATTTCTACAATTGTTTTTTCATTTAAGAGCATTCACTTAAAAATGAATATAAACATATTCTTGTTCATCCAAATACTAAAAAAAACAATTTTAGCTTTCAAGTAAAGGTGGAAAGACATATTCTTCATTGGAAATCAATATTTTAAAGTAGTTCAAATAGAGTAAAAAGGTGGAAAACTTAAGTCTATAGCAGGTAATTCCAGCCCACTATCTCAGAAACATCTGTTTCATAGCAGTTGTGCCATTAGCATGGGTGAATCCTGAGTGGATTCCTTTTTGTTGTTGACACCAACTTCAATTTTCTTTGGTTGTGATAGTAACACGAAATAGGCAGTGTATAATTTTCCTCATCAATGCAGAAGTGGTTAAGCTAGCTATGCACTTACAGATTTCAATAATGTTACAATATTTACCTTACCCTGAAGTGATTAAGACAACTTAAGAATATCACTTTTGGCCAGGTGTGATGGCTCACGCTTGTAATCCCAGCACTTTGGGAGGCCAAGGCAGGTGGATCACCTGAGGTCAGGAGTTCAAGACCAGTCTGGCCAACATGGTGAAACCCTGTCTCTACTAAAAATACAAAAATTAGCTGGACGTGGTGGGCACCTGTAATCCCAGCTACTCAGGAGGCTGAGGCAGGAGAATCTCTTGAACCTGACAGGCGGAGGTTGCAGTGAGCCGAGATTTTGCCATTGCACTCCAGACTGGGGGACAAGAGCGAGACTTCATCTAAAAAAAACACACACTTTTATTAAAATTGGTTTTAAAAATGCTAACAGGAAGAGTTTCAGTTACACATGAGGGCTGATTGATTATTCCATTCAAAAATGCTCTATACCTATATTTTCATTTAAATCACATGCATCACATTAAATTAAGTAAACTTTGAATTTTGGTGGTTACTTGGTTTTGAAAACAAATAATAAGGAGAACAATAGCTATCATTTACTGAGTGTTATGTGGTATGTATTATTATATATATATTTCATATACTCACACAATGTGTAAGGTGGATTATGTTGTTATTGATGAAGCATGTGAAAACTTAGTAACCCCTCTGACGTGACATGGCTAGCGAGCAGTGGAGGTGGGACCACGCCAAGGCATCATGACACCAGAGTCTCTCCCACCACCAGGAAGAATGAAAACTAGAGGCATGAGAAGCTTGCACCTTGTTTTATGATTGCACACATTTAAGTAACACTATGATAAAAACAGTTTAAATCAACATGGTGGGAGGCTAAGCTTAAGTCATTTTTTTCCTTTAAAAATACCCATTACTCAGCTTTGATACACAATGCACTGGTCCCATCTAAGTTCAGTGTTCTATGATTTTGTGATTCCACTGGCTGTGGGCTTTGGTCTTTTAGAAGCCATTTCAAATGACTTCAGTGGTTGTTGTGTAATCCCACTGTACTGGGAAAGATTTAGGCTCTTTATACACTGGGGACTGCATCTATTAAACCCATCCACACCCTGTGGTGTGTTTTTATGCACATTCCTTTTGTCTTCTAAATGAAGTTTCTGCATATGGGAGAAGAGTGTGAAAGAAAACAAAATCCTGGACTCTGCCTGTACAGTGATTACAGCTCAGACACAAAAACATCTGCTGGGTTAAAGGCACCAGCTGTTGACCATGTACAAAAATTGCATACAATGCCGTTGGTCAGGAAATTAAGAAAACTATCGTGTCAGTGGATCAAACTGTGAAGAATTTTGGAAAGACTAAATATTGTTTCCCACACTGAGATTTAACCAACAGAGAGCACTAAATAGAGTATACTTATTTAAAGATAATTTCCTGTCCATCCCCTCAGTTTGGAAAAATCACTGATTTTAATAAAATAATTTTGAGTCATTTTCAGAAAGGAATGAACTTAATGATGTGAAAAAAAAAAATAGTCCTGCAGTGAAAGAGGAAGGAGTTTTATATCTTTAATTCACCTGTGATTTTCTTATAATCTCCAAAGAAACTTTACAGAGAAAAACACTTGTGAAACTGATTTAGCTTTTAACTCAAAACTATTGATCATTTCTTCCAACTTTCCATTTCCCTATAGCCCTGATTTATGACAACACGAGGTGTAAACTTTAAAAAAACATATGCATCTGTCTGTTTTTAGGATTTGACAATAGTATTTTTGTAAAATCAGTGGGTTGTTTTTGTATTGCTGGGATACCTATGCCCAAAAGTGTTGTTCTGAAATGTGTCACGGTAAATCACATTAAATTGATGACTTAGAGTAAAGCAAGTCTTAGAATTCATTGAAATGTGGAAAGCTTAAATTTTATAAAACAAAGGAATTGCTATTTTATTTGATATGTTCTTTGTATTTAAGTGCAAATAGCTTTAATAGAGAAAACTGTTATAGCTGAGTAACATACTCAGCTTTAAGCTTTTCCAAAGCTCTGGAAAAAAGAAAAATATATTTACATGACTAATTTATTATAAGAAGCAAAGAAATACTTTTTTATAGGTCTTAAGTGTTTGGATTGAAATGCTTAACTCTGATGCCTAATGTTTCTATCTGTGTGGAGGGACACACATTGGTGAAGCACTCCTAATCCCTTAGCTACTACTCTTAATCCCTTACTACTGCAAGGGAGGTAAAAGGAATTGCCTGTCTTTGGTAACCTGCCGTTAGGCGCATCTGACGTTGGAATATTGCTTCTCAGTTGGATAGCACTAATCTGTCAGATTCTCATGGA